TATTTTGTGGTTATATCTTAGAGATTCTATGGCCTTTTTCTCTGGTAGAGAGAGGTTGTTGTGGTGGCATGTGCTGCTGATTATTTCATTGTTCATTCTTTCCCTGAAGCAGTCAATGTAGCGGTCAAGGTTAGGGTTTCGTCCACTGTGAGGTGTCCAATCTGATGGTTTTTTGGGCTTTTTGGCATTGATCCTTTCCTGAATGTTGTCAGAGGATGAGTTGTGAGCAGTCAGACAAACTGTCATTTTCTTGTTTTGAGGAGGACATTTATGGTGCCTCGAGAAAGATTCACAAACTGTGACGCTTGTGAAATATGAAGCGATTGTTTTCACTAGGTGTGTCTACACAAGACTCTAACTGCGCAGTAGTCAAATAACACTGTGCAGTAGCACATCACAGCACCAACAGTGCTAATATGCTACTGTGTAGTATTATTAGGCCACTGCACAGTAGCATCATTTAAAAGGCATTTGCTCACGATACTATGCGGTAACTCCAGTTACTGTGCATTTATTTAGTAATTGCCTTTATTTAGTACTTGATTATACAAGTACTAAATAAATGTGCAGTAACCACTGTGCAGTACTGTCTCATGTAGATGCACCCACCGTGAAATTATTTTGCTATTGTTTCAGGAATAAGTTTGAATTTTAAAGTGACTAGTAGTTTTTGGATGTCTAACTTCAGAAACCTCAAAGGGGCCTGACTTTCAAGAAGTGCCAGAAGTCCGCACTCTGAAAATATTGACCACACAAGATGTTTCAAGCTAGGTAGAAGCACTCACTAGTTAATGTGCTAGTACCTGTGAACCATAACTTCTCTGCATGCTGAGAGAATATTATACCACTGTCAAACACATTTAATGAATCATTTAAAACACTATTAAAATATTAAGACATTAAACCTTTATTCCACTATATGTCTTCCAGAAGGAGGACTGCTAAATTGTTATTGTGAAATGCAATCAAGTTGAACATGCTGTTAGATATACTGAAACAACTGAAATGCGTTGTAAACTTTAATAGCTATGAAACAAGATTATGCTAGCAGATATGTGTCTGTTCAGCATATAATTTTTCTGAGTTGTTACTAAGCAACTTTAATGTTGAATGATGTTTACTTCATAACTTCTGAAGAATTGGACTTTTTTTGCACACATAAGGGCATAAGGACACACATACAAGTCAGTATTCAGTAGTCCTTCCTTTCCTGCAGTTTTGTTATTGTTTTCCTGTTGATGCCTTCTTTTTTATAATCTTTCATTGTTTTTATTTTTATCAGAGATTCATACAACCCTGGCTGGTTTCATGCTTTAAGACAGTAGATTATGAACAGAATCCAGACAGTGCTCCTGTTTTTTAAGGGTTACAATGCAAGCCCGTTTGGGCTTAAACCCACCACCCAGAGTGAGAACCTTCCAATTTTCAGTTTAATTTTTCAGGATTATATAGTAAGGATATGACACACACTCAAGCTTTGCACAACTTGTGTGATATAAATATATAATTTCTTTACTAGCACAAGATCGTTTAGAAAACAACAAACATCCCAATTGCAATGTCCCTTCCTCTAGCTCAGAGGTACTCAACCCCTGGCCTGAGCGCCAAATCCAGCCCATGGTCAGGAAAATCGGTGTTGGGGAAGTAGTGGCATTAATAATGTCACAATCCCCCACTTGCAAATTTCCAGCCCTATCCCCCTGTGGAGCCAGGTTGGGGCTGGGTCATGCCCTCCCCACTCCATGTGGCCAGGTCAGAGCTAGGCCATGCCCCCTTCCCCTGTGCAGCCAGATTGGGCCACACTATGCCTGCTCCATGCACCGGATTGGGCTCCATTAGCTGGATCTGGCCCCAGACATAGTGGGCACTGACCATTTGACTTGTGGGGCAAAAAGGTTGAGCATAACCACTGTAGCTCATCCAGTGCTTGGAGGTTTCCTGTATTCATCAGCCTCATAAGGCTACTGCTGTAGTGCCTATCATCTTGGTAGTGGTTTGAGACTTCTCCCAAACTTCTCAGTCCATAAGAAATTCTCCTTTCCCACAATCCTCTCCAAAGTTAACACCCCTCCTTCTTAAAACTGGGCATTTTATTTAACCTTGATAACATTCCACTACTCCAAATTCCACCCCCATGCAGACAAACCCGGCTTGTCTAGACCTTAGCTAAACCTGGGTCCCTGGCTATTTCCCAAATTTAACAACTTATTATTGTTGCTGACAGTGTGATGAGATGGAGGTTTTGCAAGTCAACATGAATATACACTGGGAGGCATTCAATTTATATACTAACATCTATATAATAATTTCATAATTTCAATCAGAAATTGTAAATCATACTTCAAACTGAAGCACTTCAAAGATATTCCTCTTTTTGAGTTGTGAATGTCTGCATCCTGACTGTTTGCAGTCTTTCAAAAGCGCTTGCAGTTCTTCAAACAGGATGTCTGTCCCACAGCCCTTGATGTAATGCCACCAAAATCTGGTTCAAAGTTCCCAGTAAAATAAAACTGATAATAAAAGAGTAATCCATTTTTTTAGGACCAGAGTAAATTAGCTTGGTAGTCTGCCACATGCAGAATGCAGGTATGCAAGTTGGGGGATGGGGAGGAGTGGGAGTTATCAGAAAAAGCGAAAGAGTACACAGTACCCACTGCCATTATTACACAGGTTCTCAAACATTTTTGAACCATGTACACTTTATTAAGTTTGTCATGCTGTTGTTTGCCCTTTGTTATCCTTCTGGCAACCAAAGAGAGTTGTTTGGGGGTTTTTATTTTATTCCATTTATATTTATATATATCTTTCCTTTTTTTTCTTTTTTTTTTTTCCTTTCCCACTTTTTATTTTCTTTACCCTCTAGAAGTCCACTGTGCATCCACAAGGTACCGCAATTTGAGAAATACAGCAATAGTCCAGTTGAAACCAACAGAAACATTTTGAGAATCTTTGTGAAACTAATATTGCTTATGAATTGGGAGAGCCTTACAAATTCAGAATTAGCATTTCATTAGCATGGAAGCAGAGGTATGATATGGATAATATCTAATGAATCTCCACAGTAATTACTCTGTATATTTTTAGGATTTTTTCAGCAAATCTGATCCATTTCTGGAGATTTTCCGGATGAATGATGATGCAACCCAACAGCTTGTTCATAGAACTGAGGTAAGAAATGAGCTGTTGTCACTTTCCAAGGTCATAGCTGGGGTATAGAAAGAAATAATTTATGATGCAGATCTTCATAGGTGTTTAGATGCCTTCTAGTGATAGGCGCCTAATTGCCTCCAAGGATCTGGGTCTATATTTCTACATTTCAAAGGACTGTAACATGTGCCCACATTTGAATACTTCTCTCCCTCCTGGTGTATACTAATTTAAGTATTGATTACAGTACCAAGAGGGGAATTTGTTATGCCATTTGAAATGCAGCATTAACTCAACTAACAGTTCCTAATTCCATTTGAGGGTCAATGTATTAAAAAGGTGCTGCTGCACTCAGACAAGCTGTATGCAATGCCATATTATTTCACAGCTCCATTGAGCCCCCATGAGCTCTTTTGTGCCTGTTCTTCGTCCCCATTTGGTGGTGGTCATGAGGTTTTGTACATTTTTTCATTTGTAATCTGCCTGCTTTATTTGGTTCCCATCATGTTCCAAAGTTACATGGGTCCTATGGTCCTAGCAACCAGTGTACATGAAGCTGCAGGTGACAGGCTAGAGTGGCAGCTGCTGAGAGTCTTTGAGCGGGTGTGTATTTTGCTTCTTGCTATTTACTTGATTACAAAAGGTTGCTCTCTTCTATTTAGGCAGACAAAACCATGCACGTCTAGCTAAAAGTTCATATCCGTATACTCTCAATGGCAGTTTAATGCTGTATATTTTCATAACATTTTCAGTATGTGGCAGCAGTTCTTTTATTAGCACCATTTAAAATGTAGTTAATAAATTGGTCTAAAGGACTAAGCCTACATAAAAATCCAGACGTCCTTGAGGATAGCAGTGATACTGCATTCATCTGAATTAGTCAGATTTCTTCTGAGTTGTAGAAATTACCAGCTTCCTCAATATATTTTATTCTGAGATCCTGAACAGCTCAGTGATGTACACTAGTTTTTGAATAAGGTTTTCTCTTCCCTAGATATGTCTCTAGGGACATAGCCCAATAGCAGTTGGAGGACACTTAACAGGAATATGTTATGCAAATCATTTTCTTTCTTTACACAGAACTGCAAAAGACCTTACTACAATCAGCTAGTCACCCAAAACTAAATCCTGTCCCACTTATTTGCACCTGCTGGGGTCACCAATGGCCACAGAGTGTACTTTGTATTAGTCAAAGGGCACTTGTTTTAAACTTCAAATGGCTTTAAGGGTGTTAATGTTTTTAGTTTTTAGTTAGCTCAAGATGATGTTGCTTTTTATGGACCTGATCCAAAATCTGTTGAAGTCAGTTGGATAACTCCCAGGGACTTAACCACCCTGAGGACAAGGCCTCAGTTTCCGTATATGTTATCACAGACTACTGTCAAAGGGTAACAGTAGGTATACAAAATATTGCATTAAGTAGAATTGCCTTTGCTTGTCTAATGGATTGCTGAAAAATGTTACCAGTGTTTAATATACTGGATTAAAGATTTAGCCACTAGAGGCATTTTTCTCTTTCTGATTAATCTCCTTTATTAAAAGTCATGGCTATGGTTTAGGATTTTATTTTAAAATGTGCAAATGTCAAAGCATTTTCCTTTCTCTCTTTTCATTTTCAGGTTGTGATGAATAACTTAAATCCAGCCTGGAAATCTTTTAAAGTGTCTGTAAATTCTCTGTGCAGTGGAGATCAGGATCGCAGACTAAAGGTCAGAGGCCTGTCTATACTTCTGAACAGTTTTATATTATTGAACAATTTCATCTTCCAGTTTTAAATGAAAGATCACAGCTTTGCAATGTCCTCTCATTTGACACAAACACAGCTGGATTATGTTACTCAAATTAAAGGTACACTGCAGTGGTATTTCAAGTTGTTTTTCCAGTCATAGTACCTGATATTCTGAGGTCTCTGAGAATAATCTTACTTAAATCAATAGAATTAAAATGCTTCATGTAGGTTGCATCTTTTATAAATATCATTTGTAGATTAAATATCTGTGAATTAATTCATTAAAACATAATAGATGTGGTTTTTATAATGATTTTTATAAGCAACTTATTCTGTATTATACAGCAAGGTAGAGCTTCTAAAGAGAGCAAGAACTGTTCAGAAATCATCAATAGTCACTTGAATGACAATAAAAGTTAATGACCATTGCAGAGAGTTGGCACCTGAAAATCAGGTTACTTATATAAGTATCTAAACCAAAGCTTTCTAGCATATTTAATTCTATATGCTAGAAAGCTTTGGTGTAGTTTTTCTGTCTTGGAAGAAGAAATGATGGCATGTGCATCAATACTCCTGGATCTCAGTAAATTACATAAACACCGGTTTTAACTACTATGTACTTTGAGGGTTGTCTTATATATATGTGTTATGTTTGACATCTTTAAGTGCTTTGAACTGGGGCCATCGGCATGAAAATCAGCCTAACAAGATCTGTTTTCTGAATCCCGGATGGTTGAAATTAGAGGCAGTGGGCTAGGGTTCAGGCAGGAAGATTAATAACTGTTTTAGCCTGAGATTCAGTACACTTGTGATGTCAAAATCAGGCCAAGAATTTATTTTAGAGAGACGGAGAAAGGTTCATATTAGACAGTTAGAGTTGAGAGTCATCAGCATGGACATGGTAGTTTCATTTGAATTTGTGGGTAAGATTACTCTGAGATAAGATGTAGATGGCCAAAAAAATGAGGGACCAAAGACAGAGCACTGTGGGAACTTCCCACTGTGGGAACCCCACCAGGGGTGACCACCAGCATCTGGGGGAACGTTTGTTCACCAGAGCACCCCAAGGGATGACGAGGTCGAATGGTCACAAACTACTTCAAGATCGTTTCAGGCTGGACATAAGGAAGAACTTCTTTACTGTCCGAGCCCCCAAGGTCTGGAACAGCCTGCCACCGGAGGTGGTTCAAGCGCCTTCGTTGAACACCTTCAAGATGAAACTGGATGCTTATCTTGCTGGGATCCTATGACCCCAGCTGACTTCCTGCCCTTTGGGCGGGGGGCTGGACTCGATGATCTTCCGAGGTCCCTTCCAGCCCTGATGTCTATGAAATCTATGAAATCTATGAAAAAGCTGAAAGGAGAAGAAGTTGAGGAGGATTCACCAAAGGACATACTGCAAGAACAATTAGATGGGTGTAGAGAGAACCAAGAGGATATATTTATGCATCTGTTGACATTAAAAAAACTGATTGGTGGGGGAGGCTGTGTATCTTTTGTATTATTTGTGTATGAAAACAAAGACACCAATCTTAAAATTTCACTATGTAAGTACTTCCTGTGTCTGCAAATCAGATATTTTAAAAAGACATGTAAATAGTAGGATTTGTATCAGCAATTCAGTACAGGTGTAAAAATACTGTGAGCATAGGCAGTGGAAGGCCAGGGCTAACGGGGCTTAGCCCCCCCCAAACTGATTTTGCAGGAGCTGGTGACAACGGCAGCACCACGGCACCACTGTCCTGCAGTGCCCGGCACTACTTGGCATGCATCCAGGCCAGCGCCCCATGTGTGCTCAGCTCTGCGTGGCTCCACTACTCCAGTGCTATACCCCGCTGCTGCAGCGCTGTGCCCAGCACCCCTGCCATGGGCTGCTCTGCCGCTGCGTACAGCACTAGTGCGCGCCAGCCCAACAGCCCTGCGGGAGGGAAGGGCAGGAATCAGGCAGGCACGCCCTGCACCGCATCCCCTGCCCCCCACACCTGAAAGCAGCACCATAGAAGTATCTTTTAAATTTAAGTATTACTCAGCTCCCCAAATAATATTTTGTCCCATCAACTATGACTGTGAGGTTGAAGCTTCTTTAAAATTTAGGTCCATTAATGCCTTATATAGGTGGTTGACCACTGCTTTGTAATACTTCTAAAATTATAATTATTCCATTTGCTTTTAGTTTGGTCCAGGGATGTTTGGGAAGACCATGTGAGGGGTTTTGTTCTGTTACATGAACTTTTGTGTTGCATTGTATGTTGACTAAGCTTTCAGCCCTAAGCCTCCATACAGACTACACTGTTTATGAAGAGAATACTTTAAATCCTGTTTCATATTTTTAAAAGTATAAAGTAATATTTTCCCACTAAGCACTGAAAACATTCTCCGTGCAATATGAAATAAAAAAGTGTTTAACATATTTTAGCTGTTTCCATGCCAGGATAGTCAGACCATTGTATAATGTTCAGAATTATATAAGACTGGATGTCACTTTGAAAGGCATTGCTAAACAAGGATGCAGACAAGTTTAAAGGGGAGGGTGCAGATGTTCATCAATGTCAACTTGACTAAGGGAAATGGACATTCCTAGCAATAGACGCATTGTAACCATTCTTTAGACCCTCTCTCCTTTGGCTCACTGGTGATCCCAGCAGCTTGTGTAACTTACCCTGTGGGTTTCCATAGCCTGACTGGTGTACTGAATGTTTGGGTCTTTCATCTCTGCCACTGAAATCCTGTGTATTGAGATTAGCGGTTTGACTACTGTTATGAAGACCAGGGATTAATATTACAACCCTCTCCCCCCCCCCCCCCCAAAAACAAAACAAAACTAAACTAAAACCAATAAAACAATACAGTTTGTCCTTGACAAGCCTTGGATTCAAAACAGCTTTTGAAACTTTCTTGCTCAAAAGACATGCCATGTTTAAAAAGATAAGATGTGCGGGGTCATTAAGATTAAGGCAACCAGCAAGTAGAGTCTCCCTTAAAAGTCTTCTACCAATTTCTTTTGCAAAGTCTGTTAATTTGGGTCCCTGTGGAGACTGTTATTTTGCTTTGTTTTATTTAGCTATGCTGCAGAGAGCGGTTATTTTTATTTCTCTCAGGATGCCTTGCAAAAACTGTATTACATTGTTATTACAATTGGTACTCCCACAGGATTTTTATGTAAGTGGCGTATTAGATTTATGAAACTACTGAGCTCATCTTCACAGGCATTCAAATCTCAGTTCATCAAACTTAAGGGATGTCATTCCCTTTGGTTTGTATACTACTTTATATTTGTATGTACATTGCCAGGGACAACAGGCTTCTTTGAGCCAAAGCTGGCAAGTTTCCTTCCTAACATACAAGAGGCTCAGTTCATGTTAATATTTGTTTATAAGCCTCCATGAGAACATGGTTCTTTTGAGAACATTTATCCTAGAAACTATCAGGCTGTTACACTGAAGGTCATCTACATGGTGGAATTTTGGCACATAGATTTTGGCCTGATCATGAATGTTATCTTGTCATGAAACTTTTCACATTAAATGCGTATTTTGGGGGCTGGTATTGCATGTCAAAGGGTCTTCTGCCAGTCCCTTTTCTGTTGCATTCTGGATGCATTACAACAGATTAAGTTTCTTCTGTTCTAGAAGCCCATTGATTACACAAGCTGAAAAGCAATTTTCTTACCATCCAGTGATGTCATTTACAAGATTTAGTAAATAAACTGCTAGGTAGATACTGTAGAAAGATCACTGTACTCAAAGAGTAAGGAAGACATGCTGCATAGTAGAAAAATGCTGTATGGAGAACATATATGGTGTAGAATTCACTGAGTGCTCTGAAGGGGTACAAATGCAGAAACTGGGAGAAAAAGATAGACAAGCAAAAGAACCCAGGAGAAAAAAGAAGTATGTGAAATATCCATGCAGAGACGAGGACAAACCTTCCCATTTTTCCTGGCATTTTTGCTTTTGAAACCCCTCTGCACTGCGAGACATCATTACTATTTTGTCTGAAAAGTCATCCCTGACTATATGCAAATCTTGTATGGTTGATTCTTATTATCCAAGTGGGAGAGTGTTATTTATATTTGGTTTAAATTAGTAATATATGCTACCTCGTCTGTCTGGCTTCTGCTGATGTATCCTATGGCAGGGGTGGGCAAAATGCAGGCCGGGGGGCTGGATGTGGCCTGCCAGGCCATTCTATCCGGCCCACAGGGCCCCCCAAAATTTAGAAAATTAATATTTATCTGCCCTGGGCTGCCTGTCATGCGGCCCTCGATGGCTTGCTAAAACTCAGTAAGCGGCCTCTGCACAGAATAATTGCCTTCCCCTGTCCTATGGCCATTGCCTTACAATATTTGAACAGGATATTCCATAATTTGTTTTTCCTTAGAAATGAAGATTTTATTGTTATACACATTCAAGTAATACCCAATATTGGCAATAATATCAGAATATTACTTTAATCGGAATCCCTTTTACAAGATGTGCATTGTAGTCACATTTTAGGCTATGTTTTCTATGGATTTTATGGAAATTTCCTGTTTTATGTTTTTGTGTTCTTAGCATAACCTAAATCTTTCTGATTGCTCAGAAGTAGATATAGAAAACTATGTGGATCTCTTTGGATCGCTACAAATATTCTTTTTTAAAAGGCCCAAGAAATCCACTGACCATGTGAAGCAACACGAATAATTGTTTTGATGTTCCTCTTATAACTAGAATGTTTTCTAGATCAGTAAGCTTACAGTGACCTTCAATACATGACTACAGTCCTGCTAATGCAAGTGTTTTATAAAATCTAATCCTTCAATAAACACTCAATCTCTGAAAGCAGCCAGTGGTGAACTTAACCCAGTGGAACCTATGAAGAAAGCTAAAAGTAAAGCTCAAGTGACAAGCAATAAGTAATACATTCTGACAAATCCATTAGTGCTTTTATTCTTTTGTGGCTTAGCTGTCACATAGTATTCTAACTACTAATGCAGTAAGA